CTGTGCACTGATTTATAACTCATTTCAGCTGGTAAGAATATAATTGATTGAGTTATTCTATTGATATTTCTTCCTGGGCTTGGTAAGCCATGAACTTCAGCATAATTTTCCAGAAAGTTCTTTACAACAGTGGCAATGTCTTTGTCAATCACCATTTTAGTTTTCCATTGAGGCATCCTCTTTACATTGCCAGGAACCCTTGCTAAAAGACCATTGTTTATCAGATGTTTTCTAACATTTTCAAAGTAAGTTCTACCAATTCCCAACATATTGAGATAAGTTTCTTGACAAAGAAGTGTATTATGATCCCAATGATAAAAAGTTCTTTTATTAGATCTGGTTTTCTTTTTAAGGTGTCTGCTAGTGCTTATTGATCCACCATCCATTGCTTTAAGTTGGGCCATTAGAAATATGTCTTGTTCTACTTTAGAAAGAGCTTGAAAGGATTCCCTTAATTCTGCAAATTGCTCCTTGGGAATTCTGGAAGAACAACCACAACCACAACCTTTTTCTAAAAAATCAATGGTTTTTTGATATTCATTAGAATCATTATATTTATTACTTTTCATATATATACATCCCTATATATATAATTTTATGTTCACTTTGTGGTTTTTATAATTGTTTTAAAATTGAAAGGAAGTATATGAATGGAATTAAACTTAGGTGAATCAATGGAATGGTTTTAGGTAATGGTTTAAAAGATAAGATTGTGATGTAACTAGTGAAGAGAAATTGAAAATTTTGGTCAATTGGCTCCATGAAAAATAATTATGGCCTAGATTTAAATTGGCTTATCATCATCAATAATCAAAATGGGAAAAGACAACTTAAAAAGCAAACAATAAATGAATATTTGTAATATTTTACTTTATCAATAACAAAGTTAATTTTTCCACACATTGTTGATCATAAACATAGAAAATACTATTATTGTAGAAAAATTATATCAATTTTTGAAAACCTAAGTTACAAATTAATTTGATATAATGATTATTACATTAAGGTAAATAACTTGATTTGTAAAATGCTACCTACAATGGCAAAAGAAAGATGTGACTCTAAATTAACACAAAAGAATTTAAATTGCATACAAACTAAGGTTTCTGGCCGAAACTTCTTCTATTAGTAGCCAAAATTGCCCAAATACTATGGGCAATAATTACTTTTTTATAAGCACAAACTACTTTTTGTTACTAGCCGAAATTGGGCGAAATTATTTTAAAGTTGTTTAAGTTAAAACAAGTTGATTCATATAGTTTTTTAATGTTCATGCTTATAGAAAATGTTGAGAAGCCCAAATTGCCCAAACTAGTTTGGGCTTTGAGAAAACAGTTTGGACCAGAAACCTTAGTGATAACCTTTCAAAATACTCAAATCTCTGTGTTCAAAATCAACCTGGAAGCAAATTTGAGGCCAACAACTATGTCCTGCAGAAGAAAGTTTATTGAGAAGACTTAAACCCATTTTACAAATGGCTAAAAATGATAAAGAATCTTTGTTGCAGAAGTTTGCACAGGTATGGATAGATATAGGTAAAGGAGGCATCACCTTATTTGAGCAATATGCATTACTGGTTATCCATATTTTTGTTAGTGAACTTACAAGTAAAAGAAATGTCATCTCACATTCTTTGACCACAGAAGCCATGTGGAGCACAATAATGAGTTTTGTAACGGAGAAAGCTGTGTGTGATGAAGATATTGAATATACATGGGGAGAGGTTGAGTTAAATTCAACAGCATCAAGAAAAAATGGCAGGCATGATATTCTTTAACTTCCAAAAGTTACAATGGGACATAAAGGGGATGGAGCAGGACTGTCAAATGATGGACATGAATGCTTTGTTTTGGAAATATCTTATGAAGATTTTTATAAGTTGCTTCAAGAAATGAGAGACATGTTTATGCTTCTAAGAAAGAAAAGCATGAATTAGGCTATAAGATACCAAAAGAGGGTTTGTGTGTATATGGTTCACAATGTTATGGATATACACAAAAATTTGTTTGAGATGGAGCACATTAAGCCCTTTTATGTAGTTCGAAAAATTGGGTCTATGAAAATTCCTCAGTGATATCACAAAACTTTCCCTTTTTCTGTGGATGATGTGGGCATTTAAAAAAAGGGTCGCTTCTGCAAATGAGGTATGGAACTGTTTAGAAAGCCAATATGAAACCATCACTACGCTAGAATCATCTGATGATGGAGATAACTTCACAAAGGTGTCCCCTATGAAGCCATCAAGATGTATTGATATGAATATAACTCAAAAATTTCACTGATATTTTGGTTTTAATTAAATATTACGGAATATACTTTATTGTATCAGATGCAACATGCAACATGCAATATTTTGATATATTTATTGTATTTGCATTGTCACTTAAGAAGTAAATTCAAGTGATGATTGATTTGTGAATTCATCATCACTTAAGAGACACTTAAACATATGTTGAGGGCAAACACACAGTGTTGATTGAAAACCAATTCATAAAAAAAAAGTACACATCTCTAATACCATCACACTGATTTCAAACAATTTCAATTTTTATTTTCCTTTGGTTTTTGATTTTTATCATTATCTACCAATTTGTTATCCACTATAAATATTACCACATCTCCTAGACGATCAGTCAATTTTTTTTCAATCACAAAGATGAAGTATATAATGCTGAAATGGCAATATGTACCTTGGCTTTGTACATTGCATCCGAATATGAGGATGAAGCACGTAATTCCAAAATGATACCTCATCTATTTGGTAATACGTAAAAGCACAACTTTTCTTTATCTCTGCCTTATATTATTCTACCTTTGCATATTAACAAAAGTTATATTTTTGCACTCTAGAAACCTTATTTGCCTTCAGGTATCATTTTTCCATGTCATAAAGTCAGGACGCTCTTGCATATCACTATTGAAAAATCGATCACACTTTTGTGTGTTACCTTTATGTGTTTGCACTTTTGGGCACTACTATTACTATAGTGCAAGTCACTTAGTCACTGAACTTTTTGTGCTACACCGCCATTTTTTGAGAAAAAAATTTCCAATCAAAAATGCAATAAAATTTGTATGGTCA